CAGAGAATCATATAGTCTACTATGCCAGGAGAGACAACATGCATGTGTTGCATTCGTTGTCAAAAAAAGACATATGACTATCTATCCTAAAGTTCACGAGCTCTGGTAGTGCAGTGCCTAAGGCATGTGACTGCTAACTAGAAGGTTGGTGGTTCAAACCCACCAGCCACTCCTCGGAAGGAAGGTTGGGCAATCTACTTCCGCAATGATATCACCTCAGAAACCCAAGGAGGGATCGCTGTGAGTTGGATCCGACTCGATGGCACATAACAACAACATCCTGAAGCACAGCTTTGTCAATGATAGGATAATACCCATACATTTATAAGGAAGACCAGTTAATACTGGTCAAATTCAGGCACCACCCACTAAAGCCAAAGATGAAGAAACTGAAGATTTCAACCAACTTCTGAAGTCTGAAATTGAAACATGAAATCAAGATGTATTAATAATTACTGGTGATTGGAATGTGAAAGTTGGAAACAAAGAAGAAGCATTGGTAGCTGGAAAATATGGCCTTGGTGACAGAAATGATTACAGAGATAGCATGATAGAATTTTGAAAGACCAGCAACTTACTCATTGCAAATATTTTTTTTCAACATCATAAACACTGACTATACACATGGACTACACAGCAGTATATTGGCAGAGAACTTCCAGAAATGCAAGCTGGATTCAGAAGAGGATGTGGAATGAGGGATATCCTTACTGATGTCAGATGGATCTTAGCTAAAAGCAAAGAATACCAGAAAGATATCTGTGTTTTTGGAAGGAAGGTTGGGCAATCTACTTCCGTAGTGTTACTGCCTCGGGAACCTAAGGAGGGGTCACTATGAGTTGGGTCCTACTCAAAGGCACATAAACAACAACAACAACAACAACATTTGTCTTTTATTGACTCTGCAAAGGCATTCGATTGTGTGGATCATAACAAATTATGGATAACATTGAGAAGAACAGGAATTCCAGAACACTTTATTGTGCTCATGAAGAACCTGTACATAGACCAGGAGGCTGTTGTTAGAACAGAACAAAGGAACACAGCATGGATTAAAATTGGGAAGGGAGTATATCAGGGTTGTGTCTTTTCACCATACTTATTCAATATGTATGCTGAGCAAATAATCCAAGAAGCTGGATTATGTGAAGAATAGGGTGGCGTCAGGATTGGAGGAAGACTCATTAACAACCTGCAATATGCAGATGACACAACCTTGCTTACTGAATGTGAGAATGACTTAAAGCACTTACTGAAGATTAAAGACTACAGTCTGCAGTATGGATTACACTCAACATAAAGAAAATAAATATCCTCACAACTGGACCTATAAACAGTATCATGATAAATGGAGAAAAGATTGAAGTCAAAGACTTCATATTATTGGTTCCACAATCAACACCAATGGAAGCAGCAGTCAAGACATCAGACAACATACTGCACTGGGCAAATCTGCTATAAAAGACCTCTTAAAAGTGCTGTAGAGCAAAGATATCTGTTTAAAGCCTAAGGTGTGCCTAACCCAAACAATGGTATTTTCAATCACTTCATATGCATGTGAGAGCTGGACAATGAATAAGAAAGACCAAACAAGAGTTGATGCTTTTGAGTTGTGGTGTTGGCAAAGAACACTGAGAGTACCATGGACTGCTAAAAGAACTAACACATCTGTCCTGGAAGAAGTGCAGCCGGAAAGGTTCTTGGAAGCGAGAATGGCCAGACTTTGTCTGACCTACTTTGGTCAAGTTATCAGAGGGGACCATTCCCTGGAGAAGGATGTCATGCTTGGTAAGGTGGAGGGTCGACGAAAAAGGCCCTGAAGGACATGGACTGACACAGTGGCTGCAACAATGGGCTCAGGTATATCAAGGATTTTGAGGCTGGCACAGGTCTGGTCAGTGTTTCATTCTGTTGTACAGAGGGTTGCTATGAGTCAAAGCTGACTCAACAGAACCTAACAACAACAACAACAACATACACATGGGCCTCACCAGATAGAATACACACGAATCACATTGACTACATCTATCGAAAAAGACAATGGAGAAGCTCAATATCATCAGTCAGAACAAGGCCAAGGGCCAACTGTGGAACAGACCATCAATTGCTCATATGTAAGTTTAAGTTTAAGGTGAAGAAAATTAAAACAAACCCAAAAGAGCCAAAATGTGACCCTGAACATATCTCACCTGAATTTAGAGCCCATCTAGAGAACAGATTTGATGCCTTGAACATCAGTGACCAAAGATCAGATGAGCTGTGGAATGACATCAAGAACATCTTCCATGAAGAAAGTAAAAGGTCATTAAAAAGACAAGAAAGGAAGAAAAGACCAAAATGGATGTCAGAAGACACTCTGAAACTTGCTCTTGAACAGAGAATAGCTAAAGTGAATTGAAGAAATGACGAAGTGAAAGAGCTGAACAGATTTCAAAGGACGGCTCCAGAGGACAAAGTAAAGTATTATAATGGGATGTGCAAAGAACTGGAATTAGAAAACTAAAGGGAAGAACATGCTCAGCCTCCTCAAGCTAAAAGAACTGAAAAGAAAATTCAAGCCTTAAGTTGCAATATTTAAGGACTCTATGGGCAAAATATTGAATGACATAGAAACGTCAAAAAAAAAAAAAAAAGACAGAAGGAATACATAGAGTCATGTACAAAAAAGAATTGATCGACATTCAATTATTTTGTTGTTAGGTGCCGTCAAGTCGTCTCCGACTCATAGTGGCCCTATGCACAGCAGAATGAAACACCACCCGGTCCTGAACGAGCTCCATGATTCTTCTTGCTATACTTCAGCCCATAACTGCTGTCACCATGTATTCAATTATTTTAGGAGTTAGCATGTTATCAAGAAATGATGGTGCTGAAGGAAAAAGTTCAAGCTGTAATGAAGGAACTGGTGAAAAATGAGACCCCCGGAATTGACAGAATACTCATCGAGATGTTTAAACAAATGATGCAACACTGGAAGTGTTCACGTGTGTATGCCAAGAAAACTGGAAGATGTCTACCCAGCCAACCAACTAGAAGAGATCTATATTTGTACCCATTCCAAAGAAAGGTGATCCAAAAGAATGCAGAAGTTATCAAACAATATTAACATCACACACAAGTAAAATTTTGGTGAAAATAATGAAAAAACAGTTGCAGCAGTATATCAACAGGTAATTTCCAGAAATTCAAACTGGATTCAGAAGAGCATGTAGAATGAGGGACATCACTGCTGATGTCAGATGCGTCTTGGATGAAAGCAAAGAATACTAAAAGAATGTTTACCTGTGTCTTATTGACTAAGTAAAGGCACCCCACTGTGTGTATCATAACAAATTATGGATAACATTGCGATGATAGGATTCCAGAACATTTAATTGTGTTCATGAGGAAACTGTATATAGACCAAGAGGCAGTTGTTTAAACAGAACAAGGAGAAACTGCATGGTTTAAAATCAGGAAGGGTGCACTTCAGTATTGTATCCTTGCAGTATACTTACTCAATCTGCATGCTGAGCAAATAATCTGAGAAGCTGGACTATATGAAGAAGAACATGACATCAGGATTGGAGGAAGACTCATTAACAACCTGCAATCTGCAGATGACACAACCCTGCTTGCTGAAAGTGAAGATGACTTATTGGTGAAGATCAAAGATTATAATCTTCAGTATGGATTACACTTCAACATAAAGAAGACAAAATTCCTCACAATTCCACCAAAAAGCATTACCATGATAAATGGGGAGAAGATTGAAGCTGTTAAGGATTTTATTTTATTTGCATCCACATCAACACCCACAGAAGCAGCAGTCTAAAAGGCCAAAGACTATTGCACTGGTCAAATCTACTGTAAAAGACCTCTTTCAAGTGTTAAGGAGCAAAGATGTCACTTTGAAGGAAAAGGTGCACCTGACCCAAGCCACTCCTCGGAAGGAAGGTTGGGCAATCTACTTCCGTAGTGATACTGCCTCGGAAACCCAAGGAGGGGTCTCTATGAGTCGGGTCCGACTCGACAGCACACAACAACAACAACAGAAGCACTGATCCATTTGAACTGTGGTGCTGCGGATGAATACTGAATATACCATGGACTGCCAGAAGAACCAACAAATCTGTCTTGGATGAAGTACAGCCAGAATGCACCTTAAAGCGATAACAGTCTGACTTCATCTCTCATACTCTGGCCATGTTGTCAGGAGGGACTAGTGCCTGGAGGATGTCTTGCTTGGTGTAAAGTAGAGGTCAGCTAAAAAGGGGAAAACCCTCAACAAGATGGATTGACACAGTGGCTGCAACGATGGGCTCAAGTATAGCAACGACTGTGAGGATAGTGTGCGACAGGGCAGTCACTACATGGAGTCACTACAAGTCTAAACCAAAACTATGGCAACTAACAACAATAACCATGTGTATATACAGAGTCTACTAAAAAGTTAAAATGAAAGAGTTCATTGTCAGGTTGAACTCTGTTAAGTGTGAAAGGAAACAGCAATGTAGGCAATCCTGCAGGGATAAGTCTAAAAGATGGAAACTCTGTGCTTCGAAGGAAGGAGACCCTTCTAAGTGCCAGACTTGGAGCATCCCACGTGCCTCGTGCTCCCGGCTGCAGTATCAGAACCTTCCCTGCACATCCCTCTGCACTGTGAAGAGTGGTGCGCAGGGCCTGTGGCAAGGGGTGTGCACACTGGCAACTCAGGAAGAGGGCTGAACTTGGGGGCATAGCAGACACCTCTACATTTATAAATCCCCACAAGCTTCCTAAACCAGCAGTCTTCAGTCGGGTATCCTCGCTTTCCCCCGCAAGGGGCTGTGGATACAAGCAGTTATCACACCCACCTTCTCCCCAAGTCACACAGCACCAGAATGGTGGCCAGTGCCCAGGCCGGGTCAGGGTATGGAGGGGCTCAGCGGCCCACCTGACCCAGGGCAGTGTAAACAAGAGACGGGCACAGAGCCCGTGGGCCCTGGAGCAGGGCCTGGAGCGGGGTGGGAGTGGAGTACGCACGGAGGTAGATATGGAACAGGAGCAGTGGTCCAAGCAGCAGAAGGGTGATGAGGTCCAGCACCAGCACGGCCATCCCAGTGACCAGGAGCACCAGGGCCTTCGTCCTCGTGGGGAGGAAGGGGAGGAAGAGCAGCCAGGTGTCCTTGTCCGTGATTTCTGTCCGAGACAGGGAGCGGCTGTGTGGGCGGGCATCAGCCTCTGCTGGCCCCAGCCCCCGAGCTTCAGGGCGCCCTGCTGTATCTGGGTGCTCTCACAGCCCTGCAAACTGTAGGGGGGATTCCATGTCATGGTTACCACTTCAGGGCTCTGGAAGTGGCAGCTCAGAGATGATTAAAAATTTTTAATCTGTTACAGGCCACAGAGCTATAGTGAGTGACGGGCCAGATTGGCCAGCAGGGCACCACATGGAGCTCAGAACCTGCAGCTGGGTGTCTGTGTGCTCCAGGCTCCCCCAACCCTTCTGGATTTGCTCC